TCCTTCCTTCCTTCCTTCCTTCCTTCCTTCCTTCCTTCCTTCCTTCCTTCCTTCCTTCCTTCCTTCCTTCCTTCCTTTCTCCCTCCCTCCCTCCCTCCCTCCCTTCTCCCTCCCTCCCTCCCTTCCTTTCTTTCTTTCTTTTTCTGCAGTACTCTAGTTTGAACTCAGGGTCTTGTGCTTGCTAGGCAGCTACTCCATCATTTGAACCACACTTCTAGCCCTTTTTGCTTTAGTTATTTTTTAGAGTCTTGCATTTTTTTAGTGGGGCTGGACTGGCCTGAATTATGTTCCTTCTACTTATGTCTCCCATGTAGCTGAGATTACAGATGTGTACCACCATTGCCCAGCTTTTTTGTTGTTGTTAAGATGAGGGTCTTGCTAACTTTTTGCCTGGGCTGACTTTGAACTGCAAACTTCTAAATCTCTACCACTCAAGTAGCTTGTGTTCCAGGGGTGAACCACTGCATCCAACCTCCCCCCTCCTTTTAAGTTGTTTATGTCAGGCATTCTGTCACAGCAGTGGAAAGCTAACTAACACAGAAAGGTGTTATAAGTAATCTAGAGATGTTTCAAGAATACAGTAGGATGTTTGTGGGTTGTATGCTAATATGCATTTTATACAAAGACTTGAGCAGCTTCAGACTTGGGTATCTGTAGGGATCCTGGAACCAATTCCCTGTGGATACTGAAATGACTACACTGATAAACTAAATCACCAGCTAACTTCATCTAGAAAAAAAGATAGAAAATGAAAACAAAGGAGAGGTAATCCTTGAAAAAGATGGAGGGAAATGTCAAACAGGGTGATGTTGCAGACTACTGCACAAAAAGTTTAAAAATTAGATGAAGTAGGTAGACTTAGGAAAATACAACTTACCAAAATTGACCCATTAAATATATAAAGCCTTTACACCAATTTCCATAGGAAAAAAATGGAAGAAGTTATCAAGGAACACCAAAGAGCCCCATACCAAGATTGTTTCTCAGAATTTTAGGAATTCTACCAAACTGTTCACTTATCTGGACAGTGTAAATGCTATATGAATTGTCCTGAAGCATAAATAATGAAGAAACACTTTTAAATTCCTTTTTGTAGTTGGTGATGGCACTGGGGTTTGAACTCGGGGCATCACACTTACTAGGCAGGTGCTCTACCACTGAGGCACTCCACTAGCCCTTTGTGTGATGTTTTTGTTTGTTTGTTTATTGGACAGTTTTTTCAGCCAGCAAATCCTTCAGCAAAGCCTCTTATTATCCCATGTAGCTTTCCAAACAGACCATTATAATTAATTTTGCTTTTGGTAACTTTTTATATTTCTTTCTCTCTTTTTTGTTTTTTTCTTTTTTTATTATAAAATTTTTATTAGGATATATTTGTTATACAGGGGGGATGCATATTGACAATTCCAAATAGGCTTACATTGTACATTGGTTACATTGCCCCCATCCTCTCTCCCCCTCAAGCCCTCCCTGCCCCACTTAAAAATTGCAAGAGGTTTCTTTGTTCTCTTTCATAAGGTATATGAGGTCCATCTTGTGTTGGGTTTTTTCTAAGTTAGAGTTTTGAGAACTATTTGCCCGGGCTGGCCTCAAACCATGATCCTCCTGATCTCTGCCTCTTAAGAAACTCGGATTACAGGAACAAGCCATCAGCGCCCAGCTCAAATTCAATTTTTGAAGCAAGGAAAATACTGATAGCTAAATGTGATAAAGATGATACAAAAAGGAGAAAATTATCGACCAACATCAAAAATACTAAAGAAAACATTACCAAACAGAATCCAGCACCACATAAGAAAATAATACGCCATGACCAGATGGGATATATTTCAGGGAAAGAGTGAGAACAAGACTTCAGAGAGAGAGAGAGAGAGAGAAACAGACAGGGACAGACTTTAAATTTTATCAAGTTGAAAGGTTACAAGTAAATTACACTTTAAAATAATAACTTAGAGTTAGCTTTCCTTTGCCATGTTTTAGTGGATATTGTATTAGTCCACTTCCTGTTGCTCTAACTGCCTACCACACACTGGGTAAATCATAAGGAAAAGGCTCATTGAGCCATGATTCTGAAGCCTGACACTGGCCTGCACTCAGGATCTGGAGAGGCTCACAGCAGGGCAGAAGGCCCCCATCACGTGTTGAGACAGAACAAGCTTGCTAACTTGGCTCTCTCTTCCTTCTCTTACAGTCACTAGTGCAAACATGGCATCCTACCCCACGACCTCATCTAATACTAATTACTTCCCAAAGGCCCGACCTCCAAATACCATTAACCTGTGATTTGGGGAAGTTTCAACATGAGTTTTTGAGGAGACAAACGCTCAGGCCAAAGCAGGTATTTTAGACTAACAAGTGTTGTAATCTTTCCTCTGTTTTGAGCATAGGAGGGAACCTTCATCGGTACACAAGTCTTGAGAAGACTGAGACTAATCTACTGCCTTCAGAGTGATTTAGGACCATTAGTAGAGGCACCAGGTCTAAATAACTTATTCATCTGTCTGAATAAAGAAAATGGTATGGTCCTACCCAGCTGGATTGACAGTGTCATTATTTTTTGTTCTGTGTGTGTGAGCGTGTGTGTGTGCATGTTACTGGGGCTTGAACTCAGGTCTTTACATTTGCTAGGCAGGCACTGTACCACCTGAGCCACTCTGCCAGCCCAACAATGTCATTATCTTAATTTTTTTTTTTTTTTTTTTTTGCGGTACTGGGGCTTGAACTCAGGGCCTACACCTTGAACCACTCCACCAGCCCTTTTTTTTGTGATGGGCGTTTTCGAGAATAGGGTCTTGCAAACTATTTTCCAGGGGCTGGTTTTGAACCACAATCCTCCTGAACTCTGCCTCCTGAGTTGCTAGGATTACAGGCGTGAGCCACCAGTGCCCAACCTAAAAGAAATTTTTTTACCCTCCCCATATGTGGCATTAGAGATGACTGGATATTCCATGTAAAATATATGCCAATTTCTGGCCCCACCAACTACAACTAAGATCTCCGCAAGCTAATGATGCATAAGAGAAACAGATAAAGTGCAGATATAACTCTACAACCACAGAATCCTATTAAATATTTATCATTCTATGGAAAAATAGCAACACAATGTTAAATTATTGATAGTCTTTATTATCTTTTATCTGGGCTTAGATAATGTGTATAGATATCAGTTATGGGGAAATATTTTTAAGGTCAACATGGACCATAAATTGTACATGCAGTTAGAAAACCTGCCTCATAAAGCCACTATAAGAATGACAGGTGTGCTCCAAACTGAAATGATACGGAGACTATTGAACATGGGTGACATGCAGGATCAAAAAACATTCCATACAGTCAGATGAGAAGAATAAGTTTTGATGTTTTATAGCACAGTAGGGTAAATAATTAACAATAATGCATATGTATCTCAAAATAGCTCGAAAAGAAGATTTTGGATGGACTCACCATTAAAAAAATAAAAGTTGGCCAGGCTCAGTGGCTTGTGCCTATAATCCTAACCGGAGTTCAGGAGGACTTCAGTTCAAGGCTAGTGGGGGATGTTATTGAGACCCACCCCCCATCTCAACCAACAAACACTGGACTTGGTGATGCATGCCTGTCATTCCAACTACTATTATAAATAGGAAAATCATGGTCCAGGGAGGTCCAGACATAAATGTGAGACCCTATCTGAAAAATAACTAAAGCAAAAGAAGTTGGGGGGGAAAGGGGGACAAGGGAGAGGGGAGAAAGAGGTAGGTTCTGTAGAGTTAACACAACTGGCCTCTACATGGCTCCCACAAAAGGTCACAAAGAAGAGTTTCCAAGGAGCTTGACCATCATCAGACTGCTGCTCTCTACATCAGGTTAATGTGCTCACTCATGGCCCAAACATGAGGCCCCTTGGTTCTGCGAGTGCCCAACACAGTAGGGAATCACACTGCAGTCTTTTGGAAGTTGGTTTCAGTTGTCCATATAATACCCTTAGGGCTAGCATCGTATCAAATTTGGAGCATGAGATAAAAGGCCTTACAGAATTCTCAATCTAGGATTACCAAGGATCCCCCGAAAAGTAGCCTGTTCTCTATCTGTAGCCTCTATGAGCCAGAACCCTGTCGAGAAGTGACTAACTGCTAAGATTTGCGCATCTGAACCCCAGATGAAGCTGGTTTCTTGTTAGAGCTAGAACCCAATGCTCTTAATTCCATCCTTTGTGCTCTCCCACACTGTACTGTTCCATTCACATATTTAATTTGTTGTCTTGAGATACAAGACAGAAATGCATGTACCCCTACCTGTTGGCGCAGTTGTCATGGTTATTTGCACTGAGTGCTGCTCAGGAGGTCCCCGTAGGGTGACATTCACTGAATAATGGGTGGCTGGGTACAGATCCAAACACACTTCCACAGCTCGTTCTGTCGTTGTCAAGTTAAATGCAATTGCATGATGAAAGTTATCGAGATACCATCTTTGACCCAGAACTTGAAACTGTCATGAGATTAAAAGAGAATGTTGCATTAGATTTCCTGCTGTCTTATAGATGCCCAGACTATAAGGAAAACGGAGATAGAGCAGGAAAGTTCCTTCCATTTATCTTAGAGTCGTTTTTAATACAAGAGCAAGCTATGTATTTGGTTATGTATTTAAAGCAATAGTGCAAGGGTACTTCACTTGATCTTTCCCCTGAAAGCTCAGATAAGCAAGCTGTGGGGGCCACAGATACACACTGCTTACCCAATCATACTCAACCCACAGCCACTCAAGCAGCAGAAAAAGGGAGTTCTAGTGGAAACACTAGTGAAGATTCCTAGAAGTCATGTATGACCAGCTCTCGATCAATCTGCAAATTCTCTGTAAAGACCATGTTTTTAGTCCATTGATGCTTGTGTTATTGGCCAGACCACCCTCCACCCACCCTTCCTCATCGCTGTCAATCACTGAGTCCTCCCCATCAATCTTCCAGGTCATCCATGACAACTGGCTCAAAAGATTCCTCTCTCTAACTCCTTGAATTCTCTTGAATAAATTGTGCCCTTATACATAAGCCATCAAAACTGGCCACTTAGAGCTCACTGCTGGGAACTTCCTCCACTTCACGTCATCAGAGCAGTTCTCCCCGAGATCCTATTCTTGGGATCACTTACAAGTAAGCTATAACATGTATTCATGTGTACCTGGGCAATATGCATATTCTCTTATGCAAACAGCTTTTCTTTGTCTGTTTTTGGTGATACGAGGGATTGAACCAGGGCCTTATGCATGCTAGGTAAGCATTCTACCACCTGAGCCAAGCTCCCAGCCCTATAAACTGCTTTTGAATGTCCACTTTTTTCCCAGTGGATTTAAGAGTATTCCATGTTATATATTTATCTTTGTCTAACATATAAAAATAGCAGTTTTCTCAATCTCACTTTTTAATCATTTTAGTGTCAGGTATGAAGTAAGAATCATTTATTTTCTTAACTGAGTAGTTAACTAGTTTTCCCAGAGTCATTTATTGAATAAACCTTCCTTTGTCTACTGATTTGAAAAATCATCTTTATCACAAATTAAATTATTTGGATCCTCGAATGTATTTATAGCCCCACGGTTCTTTCTAATATGGAAATTTGAATGTTTCACTTGCCTGCTGAAAATGGCTCATGGAAGGGCTGAGGATGAAGCTCCTTGGTAGAGCTCCTGCCTAGCATGTGCAAGGCAAATCCATCCCCAACCCCACTAAAAACAAACCAAAACAGAACCTCGGTGGCTCCACGTAGACATCAAAATAAAATCCAAGCACACAGGGCTTCTCATGACATGGTCACTGATTAGGTTTTGCCTCATCTTTTTCCCACTTGCCTTCGCTTCCTCAGACAATATGCTACTCTACTGGCCCACGATGCCCTTCCCGTCGTCATCCCAGCTCCTGTGACTGGCTAATTCCAATTCATTTTCTAGACTCAGCATGGTCTTTGCTTCTTATTTAAAAAAATTGTACCTGGACACACACTCACACACACACACACACACACATACACACACATGCCTTTCCATTCCATTATTTATTTTTTATCAAAGCATTCACTATACCATATTGAAGTTACCTCTCTATTTGTAGATTTCTATTCATTTGAATTACTTCTGGGTCCCTCTAGGTGATTTATTTTGTAAATGGTTATGGAATACATAATTAATTTTAATTTACTACTTACTGCTCTCTGCCAGATGATTTGGTTGGCACTGCAAAATGACACAAAAGGACACAATTTCTGCCTGAATTTACTTCAGGAGTTGACTTGTGGTGTTCAAAAGAAACATCAAGTTAAATCAGAGCTGATAGCCATGCAATGAGTTCCTTAAAAACCATGCCAAAAATATGGATTTGATGGTGAAATAAGCTATGATTATTAAATGCGCTAGAATATAATAGAAGTGTGAAATACCAGGCAGCGAAAATGAGAGAGAGTCACCAAATACGGTGTCTTTCATTTAGATCCTCATATCCATCTCATGTCTAACATCCATCTCTGGAAACAAAACCATAAAACGTCTAGAAGTTCATTCCATTAGTAGTTTTTAAACACTCTGGATACCCACTTGGAGATCATGCAAAGTTTAAACTGACCAATTCTACGACAGAGAGCACAGATCTTCTTACTTGGTACGTTTGTTCTGATCCAGCCTTCCTAGAATGACTTTCCAATTTCAAACAAGTTTCATTCAATATTGAAACATTGAAAATTCCATCATCTTCTAAGAGCTCATCTTCTAAAAGACAAGAGAGAATACACAGAAAGGCCATATCATCTTAGCAAAACACCAGGACTAAGAACAAGTGAACTCTAACACCTTGACAGAGCTGCTAGGATGTTTAACAGGAACAGCATTAAATTCGGCATCAGCAAACTTAGCTTCAAGCCTTGGCTCTAAAACTTTTTTTGGCTTGGAACTCACTATGTAGCCCAGGCTGACCTTGAACCCATGAACCTCCAGCCTCAGCCTCCTGAGTGCTGGGATAACAAATGTCCGCCATGATGTATGGCAATAAATCCACAACTTCTTACACCACAGGCTACTGGGAGAGCCAAATGCAGTATTTAAGTCTTGCTGTAACCAAATAAGTTGGGATCCAGGTAGAAAGTCAACTCTATCACTTGGATAGTCCATAGTAAAATGTCATGAGTACCCATACCAGTAAGCAGGAATTCTGGGAACAAGGAAAAGGATGAATAACAATCAAGGCCATGGGTGAAGTCTCAGAGCTGGCACTTTCCATCCTGACAAATGACCAGCAAAGAGATAAACAGGTGAGAAGAAATTCACTCTCACAGAACACAGTACTTGCAAAGGCACTTGCAGTGCTCAGCTAAGGTAATAAAAACATCAGAATGCAGACTGTTTCAACCATCAGATAGACTCACCTCAAATCTCCTGCCATCAAAACCGTCACTGCAATGTTTTATTGTTTTAATGTAGTCAAAAAGAAGAGGTTTCTTACAATGAATTAAGGAACTCAACAGAGAGCCCAGGAGTAACATGGTAATTTTTAAAGAAGAAAAGCAAACTTCCTAATAAACAAGGCTCTACATTTTCTACCAATAGAAAAAAATAGGGTGGGGTTTCTTGCTTTTTGTGATGCTGGGGAATCAAACCCACGGTCTTGCAGATGCAAAGCACGCCCTCTATCACTGAGCTGCATGCACCTCCAGTCCCCCCAAAAAAGTTTAAATGTCTACTTTAAAACTTTTTAAGAAAGAAGCTATTTTACAACTACCTTTAAGTGGGCATTTCTCACACGGGAGTCTCTGCCATCCAAGATGTATTAATGATAGCAACAAATTCTTCTGTCAAAATCAGAATTTTCACAGCATCTTCAATATCACTAGCATATGTAGCACAGGGCAATTAACTGAGAGAAAACATTCCTGACTGTAAATGGGAAAGGTAAAACTGTGGCTATGAGAGAGTTAGAAAACCTGTCATATGTGTTCTCCTCTATCTTCACAACTTTTATTTCTTTTCATTTTTTTGGTGGGATTGGGGTTTTGAACTCAGGCTTTGCACCTACAAAGCAGGCGCACTACTGCTTGAGCCACACCTGCAGTGTGGCTCTGGTACTTTGAAGATGGTTATTTTACAGATAGGGTCTCTCGAATTATTTGCTTGGGCTGACCATGAACCACAATCCTCTGGATCTCAATCTCCCATGTAGCTAGGATTACAGATGTGAGTCATGGGTGCCCGAATTTCACACTTTTTAAGACATCGGAGAAAAAAAAATAGACACGTGTATGCATTTAATATGAGAACACCAAATGTATACATAAGAAATGTATGTAAGCATGTACATAGGAGACAGTACATAAAGTCTATGTCTGTACACATGAGCAGAAGTACCATTTGCACAGTTCCCACTCGAGATACATAATATAGCCATTACAGTCTGAGTTCAGGGGAAGATGGTAATGTGAACACAGGCATCTGGCTTCCACTTTCTACACCCACTGCTGACATAAGTGACTGAGAATAAGTAAAAATGGGTCAAAATTTGCATCTGTGTTGGAAAGAAAGGTGGTTGCCATATACAAGACACATGACGGCATTTCTGCTTAGCATAGTGTAGAAAAGACCAGGCTGAAGGGAGACAGAGAGCTTCCATGCAACCTGCCTCTTACCCAAAGGATCATGGTCTCCAAATTTCAAAGGAAGGAACTGGGGAGAACTGGAGCCCAAGGAGGAAGCCAGACAGGCCACAGGACGGATCAGCGATGAGTTTTCTTATGGAGCCATTCAGCCCAGTGACTCCTAAACCAGACTGAACCATCAGAGTTACCCAGATGCAGCAGATCTGAAGGAATGCTTGGACGTGTGTGTGTGTGTGTGTGTGTGTGTGTGTGTGTGTGTGTGTGTGTGTGTTAAAATGACCAGGAAATTCTGATAGGCAGCCAGGGAAAAATGCATATCCATTCCTATTGTTGTTAATAATAATATTAATAGTCATTCCTTAGCACACTGGAGATCAGCAGTAAGAAGGACTTCAAAGCAGAGATCTTGGGATCCAGAGGACTCTCTTGACAGGAAGCCTGGGTTGATGGAAGGAGAGACTCACTGCTTTGCTACCTCAGTGCTACAGCACCATAATGAAGCCAGGCAGTGCCAAGATAGCAAGGTGCTCAGAAACAAAGCGCAGGGCAGTAGCCTCCCCACAGCTGCTCCCCAAAGGAGGTCGGCTTACCCAACCAGCAGTAGATCCTTCACAAGGAGATCTGAGAAAAGCATACTAACATTAGCCAGTAAAACATGAGATCAAAGGGAATGCCATCCGTTTTATTATGAGGAAATATCAGTCCTAGACAGAACTTTCATCTTCCCAAGATAAGTAAATGAGATTCTTTCCCCACGGCAAAAAAAAAAAAAAAAAAGAGGAGAAGGAAGAAGGGGGAGACTGGGCTTAGGAAGCACCTGGTTTGATAAAAAGAATTGAGCAAAATGATGGTAAAACTAGGCAGCACCTATTTTTGTACTTTTAACAAAAACATTTAACAATGGATGCTGGATTGAAGGTGTGGCTCAAGTGGTAGCCCTGAGTTCAGTCTCCAGTGCTACCAAACAAACGAACAAACTAGTGAGGACAGATTCTAACAACACATGAAGGACGAGATACTAAAAAAATGTGGTAGTAGAAAGGAAACTGGTAGAGAGAGGCAGAAATGAAAAGGGAAGTAGATGAGAGGGTGGGGGACGAAAGGAAAGTACACAACAGAAAGTGGGTTGGAAAAGCTAAAGCTCTCAGGACTGGAAATGTCGATGCATAGGAGCACATAGAAATGCAGTGGAAAACAAACTTGATACATCCTCCCAGAAGGCAAAGGGAAAAGACACGGACATTAATCAGAGTATTGGAAGAGTCAAAACAAACCTTAAGACAAAAAGCACAGATCACAGACAATAAAAGAAAACGTTCCTAGTGTGTATTTAGACCAAAATCTAAAGATAAAAAAATCACTAATTAGGAAAATTCAGGAAGCTACATCAACACTTAAATCCCCACAAACTGACATTTCATGAGGAAAAGAGATCTCTCTCTCATTCACTTTTGAACTCCCACTATCTACAATGCCAGACACATAATAAGTAATCAGTAGACATTTATAAGGTACATAAATAAATTATTAATTAATGTCCTGAATTGATTGCTAAAGGAAGCCTTTATGATATCCAAGCTGAAAATCAGATTACCTACATAAGATTTAAAAAAAAAAAAAAAACAGGCTGAGAATGTGGCTCTGTGGTGGAGCACCTGTTAGCATGCACAAACCCCTGGGTTCAATCTTTAACACGGGCCCACCCCCCAAAATAAGGAAGGAAGAAAGAAAGTCAAAAGCTTTAAATTGCCAAAGTCAATGTGAATTGCTTATAGAATTCTGAGAACAAAAGTTTATGACTCAAGAATTTTATCTTCACTCAAGCTCTCATCCACCTGTGAAGACAAAAAAGAGATTTTCTGAAAATCATGGGTTCAGAAAGTAACACATCCCCAAGGTGAGGAAAAGGCAGATTGTCAGACAGAGAAGTGAAAACAGAGAAAGTGGCATAAAAACAGTGGCAGAAAGCACTGGAACTTAAAACATATACTTTGGGTTAAATAACTGCTGTAAACATTGCTATAAATCAATAAAATAAAATGAAAATGAAAATAAAATGCCACATTAAACTGACAACATATAGAAAGGGAGAGGAAAAGAAATAAAAGCAAGAATTCTAGCAACTTCCTCATCTATTCAGGGAGAAGTTAACATTATTCCAGTTTTAACACAGGAATCAGAGACGTATAAACCCAAATAGTTTCTTTTTAATGTGATCAAATGTAGAATAAAAACAAAATCTGTACTGTCTGACTCACTGAAGAAGAAACTATGCAGCAAAAGAGATAAAACAAAAGACATAGGAAAATAGTATAAAAATTAAAGCAAGATGTCAGAAGGAAGGAAAAATCGTATCACAGGTAACAAGAATGTAACCTTATTAACTTATCTACTCAGGAGCAAACCTTTTTCCAGAAAGGCTGTCAGCATGCTAACCTCTGGTGTACATCTCCAGCAGTGTTACCCAGAAAGCTTTGGAGAAGACAAGGGGGGTGAGGTCCTATCATGCAAACATAAGCACAAAGAAATCAAGAAAACCAATATTCCTATTGAAGTATAATTCAGAGCAAACAACAGTAAACAGAAAGAAGTGAGCCATTTGCTACTAGAGAAAAAAATCTGTAAGTTGCATCATGAACTAAATGTCATAACATCAACACGAGTGAGGCAAACCAATTAGAATTTGTAAGAAAAGCTGAGAAAAATGGCAATCCAAGTAAGAAAAACAAGAAACAAACAAAACAGAAGTTCTGAATAACCTAATGAAGTAGATCTCATTCCACCTTCATCCAAATACTACCTTATCTGGCAGCTACTGAAATGAAAAAACTTGACAAAGTAGTAATGCCCAAGAAAATGTCAATAAATCCTTCAAAGTGTATCAAAATGTAATGAAACTAGAAATTAACAATAAAGTATAAACATTAAAAAGAAAAAGGTAAGCTGAGCATAGTAGTACACATCCATAATCCTAGCACTCAGGAGGCTGAGGTAGGAGGATCACGAACGAGTTCAAGGCCATAGAGAGACCCTGTCTCAAACAAACAAAAACAACAACAAAAACTACCACTTGTATGACACAATTATAATTAATTCTTCAATTAAAGGAAATGTCAAATTTCAAAGCAATTATATAATGCTTTGAAAATAAGGATAAAGAGAACAGATATGAACACACTCCAAAATAATTTTTCAACCCAAAGGAAAATCAGAATAGCAATTTTATAATCCCTTGAAAGTAAAGAGAATATGTACCAATGCCTAAAGGGTTCTACCAAAGCTCAAATTCACAATGGAGAAGGAAGCTCTGAAAGACCTTTACTATCAAACAGGAAAGAATGGGAATAAGTTGAGTTATGCATCCAGCTCAAGAATTCAGAAATGGAAACCCATACCTATAATCCCAGCATTCTTGATGGGGAAGTGGGAAGGTCAAGAGTTTGAAGTCAGGGCTGGCCTATGTAGAAAAACACTATCTCTCCTCCCCACCAAACAAAAAAACCTTAGAAGTAGGACAATATAAACAATTTAAGCGAAGCATGGAGATGGAAATAAAATGAGTTTAAAAATGAGAAAACAATTTTTAAAACCCAAAAGTTCATACTTTGGAAGAAAAGAAGAATAATAAAGCAGACAACGTAAGATCAGGAGGACTGCTATTCCAAGCCAGCCCAGGCAAATAGTTCATGAGAGTATCTCGAAAAAACCCACACAAGAAGGCTGGTGGAGAGGCTCAAGGTGTAGGCCCTGAGTTCAAGCCAAAGTACCACAAAAAAAAAAAAATGGAAATCAATTTTTAAAGGAAGAGAAAAACAAAAATAGGAATCAGAATAACCTGGGGTTATTTGCAGCTTCAAGGGGGCTATAAACCAATATTCCACATGACATTGCGCTAATATATTTAAAATCCCAAACAAATGGATATTTTAAGGGAAATATAAATTATACAAATTGACTCAAGAAAATCTAGGAAAAACAAACTGACCAAAAATCATGGAAGAAATTGACTAAGTTAGGCTGGAGGTATAGTTCAAGTGGTAGAGCACTTCCCTAACAAGTGCGAGTCCCGGAGTTCAAGCCCCAGTACTTCCAAAAAAAAGAAGAAGAAAAGAAAAATTGACAAAGTTGTCAGAGTCATCTCTCTAAAGGGGCAAAACTTTAAACAATCTTATGATCAAATCTTTCCAATGTTAAAGGAAGGGAATAATTCCAAAGTGGTGTAAAGTTTTCCAGAGCAAAAAATGTATACCTATGGAAAGCTTTCTATTTAATTTTAAAGGAACTTGCAAAACCCTGATAAGGAAATCAAACAGCAACTGTGCAGGCTCTATGGAGAGAGGAAGACAAGTCTTTACAACAGGGCGTAAGTGAGCAGAAGACAGGAGTAGATGCCAGGAAAGGTGGAGATATATTTGCCTCCTAGTTGGGATGATGCAATAAAAATCCTAACTCTCCCTAGATTAACCTACAAATTTAATGTAGCTCCATTTAAAATGTCAGGCAGAGGAAAAAGGGGAGAGACATTAAATAACTCAGCTATGGTCACACCCATCTCTTCAACCCTCAGAATTGAGATGCAAAGCCAAGTCTATATGACTCCAAAGACCACATTTTTCCCAGTGGAAAGTCACATGAAGGGTCACCAGATAACAAACACTGACACTGAACAGCAAACTCATTCTGACTCACAGGTACAAATGATCTTTTAAAGAAGATATATCCCTACAAATCCGTGGCAATTTATTATTGATTGTGTAACATTTCTCTAATTGATTACATATTAATTTTCATATCTTCCCTATGTATTACTTCAAAAGAAATTATTTTATTTTATTTATATACAAGTCTCAAGAAGAGGCCCAATTTGTGTAATTTCATAGATGGTTTTATATTGTTAAGATTGACAGACTTTGATTATCTCTGCCCAATGCCTAGTGGCAGCAATATTTTAGGGTCAGGGTATATTTTCATAAGTAGGACATCAAACAGGTATTTAAGAACTAACTTAACTCCTTCAAAATAATAAGTGACACCAATGGTATGTTAAGCTTTGTCTATAAGGTATTATTAAATAAGAATTTTTTTTAAATTAATCTACTGTAATTGTCACAATGCTGCTTTTAAAAAAGTCCATGTAACAATTACATGCAATGAAGTTTACTACTTCTTAAAGCTTCTTCAGAAAAACAAGCTGGGCCTGCTGCCTCATACCTGTAATCCCAAGTACTCGGAATGCGGAGATAAGAAGAATCATGGTTTGAAGCCAGCCTGGGCAAAAAGCTAGCGAGATCCCATCTTAACAACAACAGAAACAAAAAAGCTGGACACGGTGGTGTGTACCTGTCATCCCAACTATTCAGGAGGTATAAGTAGGAAGACCACAGTTCAAGTCAAGGCAAAAACTATGAGACCCTACCTGAAAAATAATCAACAGCAAAAAAACAGGGCCAGAGTGTAGTTCAAGCGGTAGAACTCCTGCATGGAAGCATGAAGCCCTGAGTTCAAACCCCAGTGCTAACAAAGAAAATTGGCATCTGGATTTACTACCAAAGGTAAGATGCACGACCCTCTGCTGCCTTGGATATCTGCATCCAAAATCATGATGCAAATCATCTGCATCATGACCTAACGTTCTCTTTCAAATGTCTCAGCCCACCTGAGGACTCAGCAGAGAACCAATACACCAGTGCCACTCAGCCTGGTGCCAACAGAGTAAGACTCTCTCCCCTGCTGGACCTGCTCTGCTTCTGACCCCTGGAGTAACGGCATCCTCCCCCACCTAAGCCCAGCACAACCTCAGCTGATGCTGATGCTGTTCCCACACCCGTGCTCAGCACTCTCTAGGAGGAAATGAGGCTTCCCCTCTACCTACCAGATGTCTGGAAACCAAGCATGGCGGGCACAGAGCGCCTGGGAGGGGCTGTGGAAATGCTCACGGTGTAGTTGGTGCCTGGATGCAAGTCGAGGCACACTTGTGGGGTCCTGCTGTCTGTGGTCAAGTTGATAGTCTCTTCATGAACTGACTCCACAGGGGCCAACCGTTTTCCTTTTATGTATATCTTTGGGAAAGGAAAGAGAACACCATGACCCCGGTCAGAACAACTGAGACCTCAGCTGAATCCTATCCTCCTACCACCCATCTGACACAGCACTGCTCAGCCTGAGAGGATAAGCAAGGTCGACCTTTGCATCGGAGTTCCAAAGAGAAGACCTTACCACCCCTGTAAGCATTAAACCCTGAGCAGTGATGTAAATCAGGACTCTCTCTGGGAGTGCTATCCTGCCCACAAAGAAAGGATCGCAGTCCCAACCTGAGGACTGCTCGCTTGCTGGATTCTGTCACCACATCAGCTCATGCTTCCAGGCTTGCTCAGGAGAAGTGAAGTACAAGTGCATGGAAATAAGCACTAACAAGGATGCCAAATATAAATGCATCCCCCCACATATACACCCTGTTGAGTCACAAATATCTTAAACATTAAATATAAAATAACAAAGCAAGCTGGGCATGTTCTCATGCCTATAATCCCAGCTACTTGGGAGGTGGAGATCAGGAGGAGTGCCTTCGGAGGTCAGCCCCTGGCAAACCTACTTGAAAAATAACTGAAGCAAAAAAAAGCTGGAAGCATAGCTCCAATGGTAGAGTGAACCCCAATACTGCCAAATAAATAAATAAATAATCTAGCTAGCTTGAAAATTCCTTTTGCTTTTTTTTTTTTTTCCATAGCAAGGGGACTGAAAAGCTCTTAAACTGAGAAGTTCTTATGGAAGTAAGTCCTTCTGACTCACATTCCCATGGGTTACTATTTCTGCCCCACCAGGAAGAAGTAGATCTTTTCACTTACCACATATTCAATCTTAGAGTCTATTCTTCCTGAGCTAATTTGCCACCTCATACAGGTGTTATTGAACACTGATACATCATTAATTTCCGTCACTGTTTCTAGAACAGAAAAAGAGAGAGAGAGAGAGTCAGCTTCTGAAATGCATCAATGAGCTTTGGAAAAACTGTAATGGAGATCAGTTTATCAGCCCAGCTGGTTATCTCTGCTGGTTACCACTCATGTTCTGATTCAGATAATAAATAAGTTACCTAAGGCCAATTACCAACTTCCTGTCATCGTGAATGAGTCAGGCCCACTGCCTGACTGGGCAGAAAAGGATGGATAAGCTCCAACCCGTGATTAGCCTGAAGGACTACTGGATGCCAGTGGTGGTCTACTCAGGTGGGATTGAATGAGTCCCAAGACCAAGGTGGAATCTCCCCTATAAATGCAAGGTGAGATCCAAATCTGTCTTCCTTATTCCAACAGGTGATGGGGCACTCATTTGAGTCACTGCTGTTCCCAAGAGGAAGATGACATAGGTCACCATGCAAGACCATTCCTCAAGAGCAGCTTGGGGTAAACTAAGTAATTCTCCAAAGGTCTCTGCTTTCTCCCAGGATTCCTTTAATAGAAGTCATGTAATCCAGAACTATAAAAAGCCATGATTTCTCTGGACTCTGCTTCTTTGAAGTAATCAGCATATATTCAGGTAATGAATTTGGTAATGTAGGAAGTCAAATTCTTACAGGTCATGGTTCTCAGAGGTAACACAGTTTCCAATGGCCCCAGGCAACCAACCCCTAGAAAGTTGTTCAGACAGTAGAGGATAGAGGGGGATCTAGCTTTTCACTTCTTTAAAAATTAAATTTCCTGAAGTAAAACTATCGCCATTAACAAACGGCATAACCTTCTATATAGAAAACCCTTACGCGTTCAAGCATTGGGAAATGATTAAGGCTAAGCAATGAGGTCAGCAAAGTTGTAGAATACAAGGTTAATGCACAAAAGTCACTAGAAATGAGTGATTCAAAGTGAATTAAGAAAACAATTTCATTTACAATAAGATTGGAAAGGAAACAACTCCCTGCAGACAGAAGCCACTATAGTGTCAGCCCTGAAGAAAGGAATCCTCATTTCACCCAACAGGAATATTCCACAGTCCAATTCAAGCCATCCCATCAAATCAGGCATCTCTTACAGATCCTTGGTCTCTCCCAGCCTCGCCCATTCTCTGTGCCAGCCTTGCATACGTTTTGGCAACATGACTGTCTTTCCTCCTATTCTGGGGTTTCCTCACTATGGCTCCCACATGCAGCCTGGAAGTGCAGGGAAGTTAAAATCCCACAGGGACAGGAGCTAGTGAGATTTCCCCTTGAGGGATTTCCTAAAAGACTTAGTTTTTACAGCTTCCCGTAATGCTGTCACACCAGTGGAACAATCGCCCCTACTCAGTAGAGACCACTACAGCACAACATCCTTACACTGGCTTCCCTCTTTTCCCTTTGTTACTCCTCTTGATTCACATGCCTGCTTCCTGGGATATTCTTCTCTATTCGATAATAAATATAAGCCCCCAACCTCTGGCTCTGTTTTCTGAGAAACCCCAGGTAAGATTCCTATCAAGATGAAAGAGAAAGGGAATTCTTCATCTTGATCATGCTCAACTTAGATACTGTTTCTTCTAGTAAATCTCGTCTCCACCACCATGTAGGAAAGAAAGCCTTCACCTGAGGCATCTACAGGTCAACTCATTTCTTCTATACCCAGAACCAAGGCCAAGTCTGGGTTGACTTGTTCTACCAATCTCTACCCATCAAAGACCTTACATCTTTACAAAATCATCCCATTACAGCAATACCTAGATTCTATGTTTCACCTGACCTGCTCTTGGGTAACTTCAGGTCATGTTTTAGTAAATGAGGCAGAAAGAGGAAAACAAGAAAACTGCAGACATACCCGAGTGTCTATATCAATATCTCTCCCCAGGTCACAGAAAATTTTCAGTCAAAGAAATACTCCAGTTGTGGGCATGGGTAACATAAGAGAGGCAATGATTCTATCAGTTCACCTCCTGGAGTAGCATAAAGATGATTTTGGTACCACTCTTACAGCAGCCTGAACAAGCTCCAAATATTCCTGGCTCCTTCCTCCTTGCTGCCCTTCAAAGCCTCAGAGTTCCAGACATCTCTGCTCACTCACACAACCCTTGATGGAGTGGCTCAAGTGGTAGAGTGGTAGCAGGTGTGAGGCCCTTAGTCCAAACATACCATCCATCCCCTCAAAAAAAAAAAGAACTCACACAACCCTCTGATGCTAACTTACCACCTGGTCCAGAAGGAAAAGAAAACATTTCATCCCTCTCATTTTCTCTGAGGAACCAATAAAGCAAATTTCCTTTTGCCTCTGGGTCCCTTTGTCACCTAAGCAAAGATTAGCAAAGAGTTTCCTTTCTTGTCTTTCCTTTTTGCTTATTCACTATGACAACTGTAAGTGACATCTCAAAGATGCCATCTGCCTCCAGCCTGTGCCATGCTCTCTGCACAGATGGACCCAGATCTGATTATAGAGATGCCAGATATGTCATCCCAAAGAGCAGTTTAATAAAGTGTGGTGGCTTTTCTCTCCAGGTGTCTACAAGTCATTTGGAAAGACTTCTTTATAAATATATCAGATATTAAACCTACACTAATGCTGCCCTTTTCAAAGGAGAACTCTTGGGAAAATGTGCCTTAATCCCAATAGTACTGAAAACAATTCTGGAACCTTCTTGGGAACTGTGTCCAGGGCTTTTTCATTCACTAACTGAATGGCTACCAAAGCCAAGCATCCTCCCATGATCAGAATATTAGGAGGATGGGAAGAGAGCACAGGATGGGACTGGGGGAGGCTTTGCTTGCCAAATTAAGTGCAGACTCACTTCTCTGAGCAATGGAGAGCTAAAATCAGGAAAATGATAGGAATGATTTATATTTTGAAAGAGGCACCAGAGTACAGAAGAACCAGAAATCCAAGGAAAGAATTAAATACTATTTACTCAGTTATTACTACATGTCAGACACAGATTGCTCTTGACGGACTTGATCTCATCTTTCCAGCAGTCATGAGAAGCAGTAACAAAAATAAGAAGAGTGAACATTTATTGAGTTATTACTATGAACCAGACAGAGTATGCAGCACTCTTACCTTCAAAATAATCCCATGAGCTAGATATTTTTGTGTCTGTTTTATAAACCTGAGGCTTGGATGTTAAGTAACCTGCCAAAGGTCAGACAGCACGAAGCAGTCAAGTCAGGGCTCACAATTAGATGTGTCAGACACCATGGCTAAGATCCTTTGCATTGAAGTAGTTACTCAGCCAAGAGGTTAAGAGATGAAATTGGGGCACTGTATTGCAAAACAAGAGACAATTCTGAAGCAGAATCAGTAGGAGGAAAGAGAGCAGGAACAGCAAGGAGTCCAGGCTGACTGCCAGCCTTTGAGCTCACAGTCTGAATGAATGGCCTTTTACTGCTCTCCTAAGAAATATGAGAGACAGACCAGGCTTGTGAGAGAGTAATGAACTGTGCTGAGGACATGCTGGATCTGAGCTATCTGCTGACTATCCAGGGGGAAAACAGCCTCAAAGCCATGGATTTGTGGATGGTAGTGGAAGGCGTAGTGAGACATCTAGCTTGGCCATAGAAAGAGGCCAAGTAGCAGACCAATGGGAAACACCAAAACCCAAGGAGACCAGAGTGGCATGAGCAATGCAGAGGAGAGGAAGGAGTGTGGCTGAGGGAAACTGATGTCCAGGAAGTGAAGGAAAGAGAGGATCTGATGGAGTATCTCTGCCTTAAAAGTCATCTCCCTTCCTTCCCACCAACCCACAACCTCCCCCAACCACCCAAGGCCTTGGGTTCAAGCTCAACCTCTCTCCCTCCTTTCCTAGGGCTTTTTCCCCTGAAAGAGTGCCAGCAATGTCACAATTGGATCTAGGGTTCACCTGGGGCAGAGGCAGATAGAGCAGGTCTTTTTATTGTGATTATTATTTTATTGTTTTTACATCTACTCACATGTGTACACATTGTTTGGGCCACCTCCCCTGCCATACCTCCGGACAGAACCTGTTCCGCCCTCTTGTTCTCTGATTTTGTTGAAGAGAAAGCGTAGGTGATAATAAGAAAGACATAGCATTTTTCCTAGTTTGAGACGCAGGTAACTCTTCAGAGAAATTCCTAGCATTGCTTCTATGCACATGTGAATTACAACCCATATTGGTTCATCTCTGCCAGACCTCTTCACTACTTTCTGGTCTCCTTCCCATAGTGGCCTCTGCCAGTTTAAGATTACTATATTTGCTCCTCTACAGTGAACACATGAACGACATTCAAGTTTTAGGTTTCCTTCCCTTTCCATATTCCTCCTGTGTGCATTCTCCTCTTAGTGTGTGACCCATGTCCAATAATATTACTGCATTTGTTTTATATAATCCGCATATGAGGGAGAACATGAGAGTTTTGGCCTTCTGAGCCTGGCTAACTTCACTTAAGATGATGTTCTCCAGTTCCATCCATTTACCTAAGAATGTCAAATTTTCATTCTTCTTTGTGGCTGAATAAAATTCCATAGCTTGGCTATTGTGAATAATGTTGCAGTAAACATGGGTGTGCAGGTGCCTTTGTAATAACCTGAGTTGCATTCCTTTGGGTGGATCCCTAGGAGCGGTATTGCTGGATCATATGGCAGATCTGTGTTTAGTTTTTTAAGAATCCTCCGTATTGTTTTCCATAGTAGTTGTACTAGTTTACATTCCCACCAACAGTTTATGAGGGTTCCTTTTTCCCCACCTCCTTACCAACATTTGTTGTTGGTGGTGGTGTTCTTGATGATAGCTACTCTAACAGGAGTGAGGTGGAATCTTAGTATGGTTTTGATTTGCATTTCCTTTATGGCCAGGGATGGTAAACATTTTTTCACATGTTTTTTGGCCATGTGCACTTCTTCCTCTGAAAAAGTTCTGTTCAGTTTAGTTGCCCACTTTTTTATTGGTTCATTGATTTTGGGGGAGTTAGTTTTTTGAGATCCCTGTATATTCTGGTTATCAGTCCTCTGTCTGATGTGTAGCTGGCAAAGATAT